GTCAAGTGGCTGGAGAGAAGTGAGCAAGAGGGGTGAGGTCACAGGGCGCCCAAGGCCTCTGGAAGGACTGGAGATTCTACTGTGAGAAGGATAGGAAACCATTGGAGAATTGAAGTTAGACTTGAGGAGTCGGTCAGCGTGTGGGGGACGTTGTACTGAACTCTGGAATCAGGACTGAGTACTGAGTCCCTGCTGCCCTCAGGGAATGTGGAACGCCCAGAAACGCTCACACAAACAGGGGACAGCGAAAGAATGTTATTACAGAGCAACTAACAGCGGGGGACGTTAATAACAGTGGTTAATGGCACCCTTTGTTTTTTATCTCTATAGTATTAAAATTTTGTCATAAAACAATATATGCTCCTGATTAAAAACAGAGTGCAGAAGAACATAATTTTTAAAAAGATAAAATTTATTATAAAAGTAAAACGTGTTCCTGGTTAAAAAAAATTCAAAGACAAATATAACGTTAAAGGGTGGCAGGGTGATAGCCGTTAACAGTTTGCTGAGTCTTCTAGACTTTTCTGTGTACAAATAAACATAGTAGGTTGAACCAGATGAAATTGCTGACATTCGATTGTTTCAACCTACTAAAATAACAGTTTGATATGGTTCAACCTAATCTTTACACACATATTTATTTTACAAACGTTTCATTCTACAGCTTGCTTTTTTCACCTGCTAGTATCTTATGTATATCTTTCCATGTCTGTTCATACAAGTATAATAATAAAATAGCTCACAGCTTTTCTTAAGCAATCACTGTGCGCCAGGTGCTGCCGTGAGCCCTTCGTTCTGAAGAACCCGGTGGAGCAGGGCTCCTGCTTATCCCCGCAGGGGAGGACACCAAGGTCCCGGAGAAGTTAAATCACTTGCCCATGAGCACACACTTGGCAGAACGAAAATCTTACCGACACACATGGGTCCATGGCACGGTGTCCCTGTCCCATACCGAAGGAGCCTCCGGCTGTTTCCAGTTCCTCACACTATAAACAGTGCTTCCATGAACATTCCTGTACTGTACATGTAGCTCTGTTCCTTTGAGCATCTGTAGGTTGGATGATTAGAAATGCTGGGGTCACAGCCAGCCCGGTGGCGCAGCGGTTATGTTCGCACATTCTGCTTCAGCGGCCCGGGGTTCACCGGTTCAGATCCCAGGTGCGGACATGGCATCCCGCTTGGCAAGCCATGCTGTGGTAGGCATCCCACATATAAAGTAGAGGAAGATGGTCACAGATGTGAGCTCAGGGCCAGTCTTCCTCAGCAAAAAGAGGAGGATTGGCAGTGGATGTTAGCTCAGGGCTAATCTTCCTCCAAAAAAAAAAAAATGCTGGAGTCATGCCCCATTTTAAGTTTGATAGATTCTGCCCTCCAGAAAGACTACAAGTTCACACTTCAGCAGGAGATCTTTGGAGTCTCTATTTCTCCACTGCCTCCTCAGTACTTGATATTATCAGCCTTTTGCTTCTACGTCAGTGTGTTAGGCAACACATCGCCCTTTCTATACAGGAAGGGAACCAACATTTGCTCTGTGCAGACCTAACACTGGCACTCTGTATATATCATCTCACTCCATCCTCACAGCCCCTCTGCATGGTGGGTATTATCCTGGTTTACTGACAATGAAACTGAGGTTCAGAGGGTAAAAGAGTTTATCCAAGCCCCCACAGCTAGGAAGTGAGGGTCCCTTCCATGTCCCACCTCCTCAGTGGAGTGTAGCCATTTGGTAGGCTATGCAGAAAGCTTCTAAGAGGTTCCAAGAAAGATAAGGACATGGGTACTTTGAAACGGGGTGAAGAGGCAGCAAGTAGAAATATGTGAAACTCTTAAAATAACGCCTGTCGCTGCAGAAGTGGCTATTTCTCTTGTGTCTGTCCCCTGGATTTTAAGTGCTAAGCGTTGAGCCATTGGTACCTCTTAGAGTGAGGATTGGTATCCTATGACCACAGATGTATTAGTCAGGTCTTTTCTGGATATAAGTGATGGAAATCTAACTCAAAATGACTTAACGGAGATGTTATTTGTTGACTCACATAACCAAAACTCCAAGCATAGTATTGGCTTCAGGCATGGCTAGATCCAGGTCCTCAAATGATTGCTCTCTTTATCCCTTGACTCTGCTTTTTTCACTGCTGGCTTTATTCTTAAGCAGGCGTTTCCTACACAGGGACAAAGATGTCAGCTTCATCTACCTTCAAACAGTTTAACCATCCCATGGAAAGAGTATATCTCTTTTCCACTAGAGGAAGCAAAACTCCTAGGGCTGATTATCCTGGGCCCAGATTTGGTCATGTGTCCATTCTTAAATGATTCACCATGACTCCAGTGTGCCCACCCCTGTAGCCAGGTGGGGTAGGGGTGCAAATGGTCAGTACTACAGAGATTCAGAAGGGGAGCAAGGTACTTCTCAAAGGAAAATCAAGGCTCTATTACCAAAATAAAGGAGGGGGGCAGAGTTCTTCAGGAAGATACTTCACATGTCCTATAGAACAAGAGAAAGAAAAAACAAAGATGGCGCACGAGATCCTCTGAAGAGCATGGGAATGAGGGCTGAGGTGGGGGTCAGGGATGTCTGCCCAGAGGAAAGTGCGGGAAAAGAGAAATGCTGACCCTATTGCTGGGCCCCTCAACTTCCCACTTTGCTGAGTTGGACCTGAGGCCCAGGAGAACACTGAGGAGATGTCTCAATCCTTTCTCTCCCTCCTCTCACAAAGGAGAATAAAGAAATGAAGACTTGGCACACACACCATCTCTGAGACATTGCCAGCTCCTGCCTCAGTGGCACTGATTCCAAGGTTAACTGCTGTTAGCAGTAGCAGCCCTTAAATATAGCATTTATTGACTGCCTTTGGTGTGCAGAAGAGGACATACATGTTGTGGTACATAAAAATGAACAGAGACCTTGTCTCCAGAGCTCACAATCTCGTTGGGGAAAGAGGCAGTCTCAGCACTAATATTTTTTTTTTAAAGATTTTATTTTTTTCCTTTTTCTCCCCAAAGCCCCCCAGTACATAGTTGTATATTCTTCGTTGTGGGTCCTTCTAGTTGTGGCATGTGGGACGCTGCCTCAGCGTGGTTTGATGAGCAGTGCCATGTCCACACCCAGGATTCGAACCAACGAAACACTGGGCCGCCTGCAGCAGAGCACGCGAACTTAACCGCTCGGCCACGGGGCCAGCCCCTAATATTTTTTTAAAGATTTTTTTTTTCCTTTTTCTCCCCAAAGCCCTCCCCCCCCCACCAGTACATAGTTGAATATTTTTTTAGTTGTGGGTCCTTCTAGCAAAATCCTGGGCTGCCAAAGCAAAGCATGTGAACTTAACCACTGGGCCACAGGGCCAATATTTTAACAGGGAGTCAAGCCAGCCTTCAGAGCCAGGCACACCTGGTTCCGACCTCAGTTCTGCCATTTACTCTTAACCTCTCCAAGCCTTGGTATCCTCCTCTGAAAAACAGGCATAATAATGTCTGTGTATCACGATTGTCGTGGAGTTGAGACATGGGGTATAGAAAGAACCTCGTACAGTGGCCAGCACATAGTAGGTGTGCAGCGGCAACTAGTTTTAATCATGCACTCTGTGATAAGTTCTGAAACAGAATTACCCCAAGGCAATTTTATTTTTCCTGATCTCCTTGTTCAAACTTCAACCTCTTTGTCCTAATATCACAGGTCTGTTAACCGTCTCGTGCTTCCCCTCCACACTGTCATGGCCGCCATCTGTTCTAGGCCTTGTCCTCCACGTCCCACGAACCATTTTTCACAACCCTTCTTTGAGCCCTCTCCATCTCCCTTCCATCTTCAGATAGGCAGCGACTGGCGCTGCACACGCCCTTCCCAGAGCAGACACCCCTGGGTGCTAGGCACACTGCAGCCCGAACACTGAGTGTTTGATGGAAATGATGATAAATTCGGGGCTCCTGCCCGGGGGTGACAGGCCACCTCCCTGCAGACAGCCCAGCATCATAGGAAGCACTTGGGCTTTGGGATCTGTGGAACCGGATTTGAATCCCAGGCTCTTGCTCACTGTGGGTACTGTGGGTCCTTGGGTGAGTTACTGAATCGCTTGAGCCTCAGGGTCCTTCTCTGCAGAAAGAGGACAGCCCCACTTCATGAAGTGGCTAAGAGTACGGCTGCCTGGGTTTGAATCCCAGCTCTGCCAGCTCTGTGACCTTGAGTGAGGTATTTAATGTCTCAGGGCCTAGCGGGTTTTTCACCTGTAAAATGGGGATATTAACAGTTGTCGGGGTTAAGTGAATTCTATGTAAAGTGCTTAGCTCAGGGCTTGGTGTATAGTAAATGTATAAGTTTTAGTTTTTTGGTTTTATTGAGGAATAGTTGACATATAACATTAGTTTCAGGTGTACACCATAATGATTCAATATTTGTGTATATTGTGAAATAATCACCACAATAAGTCTGGTTAACATTCGTCACCGTACATAGTTACAAAAATTTTTTTTTCTTGTGATGAGAACTTTTAAGATCTACTCTCTCAGCAACTTTCAAATATGCAATACGGTATTAGTAACTATAGTCATCACGCTGTACATTTCTATCCCCGTGACTTATTTTATAACTAGAAGTTTCTACCTTTTGACTCCCTTCACCAATTTCACCCACCCTCCACTCCCTGCCTCTGGCAGCCACCAATCTGTTCTTTGTGTCTACAAGCTTGAGGTTTTCTTGGGTTTTTTTAGATTCCACATAGAAGTGAGATTATATGGTATTTGTCTTTCTCTAACTTATCTAACCTCAAGATCCATCCATGATGTCACAAATGGCAAGATTTGTTTTTATGGCTTAATATTCCATTATATATATTGTGTGTATATACACACACACACATATATATATATGTAAGTTTTGGTTATGATTGAATTGAATAGTGTTTGCAGAGGATTGAGCCAGGGTGGAGGTGGGGACAAGCAGGGAGGTGGGAGCAGTCCCTTGGCCCGGTTTTGGTTGGGACACAGAAAGGCAAACTGCCACTCTCTCTCAGGTGCTGTCCCACAACCTGTACACGGTCCTGCACATCCCACACGACCCCGTGGCTCTGGAGGAGCACTTCCGCGATGATGATGATGGCCCCGTGTCCAGCCAGGGATACATGCCCTACCTCAACAAGTACATCCTGGACAAGGTGGGGCCAAACTGGGGAGGGGGGCACCTCTAACCTCTCCCCACTTCCCGGCCTGACCAGCACCCCAATACGTGGGCTCCCCAACTCCTCCCCGCTGTGAACTCTTCCTTCTGTCCCCTCTGTCCATCCCTGCTCTCCCATCTCCATCCTTCACACCCCAGCCACTTGCTCCCTCCTTGCCCCTCTTAACTCACCCTCAATCTCCCTCATCTCTATCCTAGCCTCCATCCTTCCCATAACCTTTCACCCCATCCCTGCCTGGGCCCACCTCCAGCTTCCAGCTATAACCTTTACAAGGGGCTCTGCAGCTTCTCCCCAGTGCTGAACCCCCTACACTCCTCCCAGCTGTCACTGTCTTCTCGGGTTCTTCTTGTCTGTCTACTCCCCCGGGGCTTCCCCTTTTCTCCCCTGGGCTGAGTGACTAAAGTTTCTCTGTTAGCAGGGGACTTGGGTGGGTGTGGATGTGTGTTGGGTGGGGACAGGGTGGTTGGGACCAGCTAGTTAGCTGATAATCAGCTCATGGATTCCTCAAGTTAGAGCCCCAACTTGGCAGGGTGGGGAGCAGGGGAATAGACGACCCCAAGAAACCAGCTGGAGCCTAGTTCGGTGGTGGAGCAGGAACGGGGCAGCCTTCTTGGCTGACTTGCAGGCCTGGTGGCAGGTGGAGGAGGGAGCTTTCGTTAAGGAGCACTTTGATGAGCTGTGCTGGACCCTGACGGCCAAGAAGAACTATCGGGTGGATAGCAACGGGAACAGCATGCTCTCCAATCAGGATGCCTTCCGCCTCTGGTGCCTCTTCAACTTCCTGTCTGAAGACAAGTACCCTCTGATCATGGTTCCTGATGAGGTAAGGGTGACAGCACCCCAGGGACTGAATCATTTTGGGCCAGGCCTCAGCAAAACCATGAAGGAAGCCAAATCACCTCTGTGCTTTCCCACATCCCCTTCCTTCTTGGTCTCTCCATGCTGGTACGTGTCCACACCCAGCTACAGACGCCTACAACCACCCATATCAGGGCAATTGTGCCTTCTCCCAGGAGAACCAAAACTACATTTCCTTCAGGGCTCGGCTAGCCCTGAGGGTGGGAAAGTGATCTGGGAATCCCACTTACACAGAGGTGTAAATGCCGGATACGTTACTGGGCATTGAAAAATGAAAACATTTCAGATCAAATGGCAGGATCTTAGACACTGTGGCGATCTGAGAAGGGTGCTCCAGGAGGGGAAGGGAGACCTTCCTGGGACATCTCTCCAGTTACTCCAGGTGGACAACCAAGTCTGGCCCCGCTTCCAGATTCTCCCTGTCTTCTACAGTTTAGGGGCAAGCCAAGCAGACTCGGCTCAGGGCCTCCTAGAGGGCACGCTGGGAGTAGAGGCCTGGAATCCGGCCCCTACCTCCTCAAGCCATGTGTGAAGCCAGGGCAGGTGCCCCGCTTTTCAGTCAGCCTGCACCCTCCCTCTGTTCCCCAGCTCTCACCCCTGTCCATTTAGCCTTCTCCTGACCATTTAGCCCTCTGGGTGGCTGTGAAGACACCAGGGTGAATTTAGGTCTTTAGAGGAGGGTACACATGGAAGGAGTCCTCTCTGTCTACAGGAAGTCCCGGCATGTCCAACTGCACTCAGAGTTGTGTCCTTGCTTCCGTTTGTGGGAAGGGTGAGAGGAGCCACCTGAGCCCTGAACTGGTGTGCGCCACCCCACTCCTGGCTGAGCCCCAGTAGCCCCCAGAGTGAAAGTCCTGGAGCTTCCCAAGACGCTGCTGGGGCAGGAGAGGGACACGAGCCCATCTACACAGACGCCGGGCTGGGCACCCTTGTCAGAGCCCTGCCAGTCAGTGCAAGTTGGCCTCAGAGGCTAGAAGGCTGCTTGCTGCTGTGATCAACACGCAGTGTGAACAAACTGCAGCAGGATGTACCCCAACCACCACTTCCTGTTCCTCTGTAACAGGTTTCCTGTGCCTGCCCTGCTTACCCCCACCCCCAAACCCCTTGCCCTCCCATGAGGGAAGCATCCCCAGGGTTGGGGCTTGGAATAAGGACTCAAATGAGATTCAGGAGATCTGAATTGAGTTCTGGCTGCCACCAACTTGCTTTGTGCTTTAGAACAAGTCATTTCCCCCTTTGGGCCTTGGTTTTGTCATCTTCAGAGTAAGAGTTCTGATGAGAGGGCCCTTGCACCCCCTCTGATATTTTCTATCATTTGCTGCCTCTGCCTGGCCCCCAGCCCTCAGCTCCCACCTCCACCCTGCCCTTAATTTAAGGCAGGAAGGAATGGAGGTTGCAGAGGCGAATGGATGCCTGACTTGGAGTTGAGGTTCCAAGATCCCCTCCTAAATCTCTACCCTGGTGTCCACCAGCATTTAGTCCTCTGGGCCCCCCAAAACCCCTGTCCCTAGTCACCTCTGGCCAGGCTGGGGGAGCCAGATGGGAGCGCCCCCTGGTGTTGGCACCAGCAACACTGCTGGCTGTAGTCACCAGGCCTCCCTTCTCCCCCTGCAGGTGGAATACCTGCTGAAGAAGGTGCTCAGCAGCATGTGCTTGGAGGTGGGCCTGGGTGAGCTGGAGGAGCTGCTGGCCCAGGAGGCCCAGGCAGCCCAGGCCACCGGGGGACTCAGTGTCTGGCAGTTCCTGGAGCTCTTCAACTCGGGCCGCTGTCTGCGAGGCGTGGGGCGGGACACCCTCAGCATGGCCATCCACGAGGTCTACCAGGAGCTCATTCAAGATGTCCTGAAACAGGTCAGGCCAAGCTGGGAACTAGGGGAGGACCCCGAGGAGGGGTGAAGGGGGGGCCCAGGGAAGCCTCTGACTTTGCTCTGGCTGGCAGGGTTACCTGTGGAAGCGAGGGCACCTGAGGAGGAACTGGGCAGAACGCTGGTTCCAGCTGCAGCCCAGCTGCCTCTGCTATTTTGGGAGTGAAGAGTGCAAGGAGAAAAGGGGCACTATCCCGCTGGACGCGCAGTGCTGTGTGGAGGTGAGGGGGATGGGCGAAGGGGCAGAGCACACCTCACGGCCCAGGGAGGGGGGGCTCCAGTGAGGTGTGGAGGCACAGGGGTCAGGAGGCGGGCAAACGGGGAAAAGACACAGTGACAAATTTCTACTTAGATGGGTGTGACCCGACTATACCTGGGTGCCTCAAGGCCATTCTCACCCATGTCAGCACTTTTTTTAAAAACTAAAACTGCACGGGCCTGCCCAGCGGCGCAGCGGTTAAGTTCGCACCTTCCGCCTTGGCAGCCCAGGGTTCGCTGGTTTGGATCCTGGGTGCGGACATGGCACCGCTGGGCAAGCCATGCTGCGGTAGTCCCACATATAAAGTGGAGGAAGATGGGCACGGATGTTAGCTCAGGGCCAGTCTTCCTCAGTGAAAAGAAGAGGATTGACAGCAGATGTTAGCTTAAGGCTAATCTTCCTCAAAAATTTAAGAAAAAACAAACACCAAAACTGCAAATCAAATACTAAAGTCATTGGTGAATAATGTGAATTTTGCTAAAGATTTCAGAGGAGATGGCTTATGCCTCACACTAGATAGCAAAACTTTCCAAAAATCCTCTTTAAACATCTTTCTCTTTCACCCAAATTCCATTCCCTTTGGTAACCCTATACCTCCCTATTCTGTCTCCACAACCCTCCCCTCTCTCCCCTGCCCCGTTCCCCTGTCTTGGTTCTGTCTATTATTATTTTAGAGGCTTAAAAAAACACTTTTTAAAAATTGTGGTAAAAAATATATATGATATGGAATTTGCCATTTTACCCATTTTAAGTGTACAATTCAGTGGCATTAAGTACATTCCCAATGTTGGGTAACCATCACCATTGTCTATTTCCAAAACTTTTTCATCATCCTAAACAGAAACTGCACCCATGAAGCAATGGCTCATCTCTGTTCCCCCAGCTCCTGGGGGAATCTCCATTCTGATTGGTACCATCAGAATGGTAATCTCCATTCTGTTTTCTGTCTCCATGAATTTGCCTATTCATTGTACCTCATATAAGTGGAATCACACAATATTTGTCCTTTTGTGCCTGGCTTCTTTCACTTAGCATAACATTTTCAAAGCTCATCCATGTTGTGTCATGGGTCAGAATTTCATTCCTTTTCATTGCTGAGTAGTATTCCATTGTGTAGCTATACCGTATTTTATTTATGCATTCATTCGTTGATGGACACTGGGTTGTTTCCATCTTTTTGCTACTGTAAATAATGCTGCTATGAACACCCATGTACCAGTTTCCAGGTGGACATCTGTTTTCATTTCTCTGGGCACACACCTAGGAGTAGAAGTGCTGGATCATATGGCAATTGAATGTTTAACTTTCGAGGAACAGCCAAACTGTTTTTGCAGAGTGGCTGCACCATCTTACATTCTCACCAGCAGTGTACGAGGCTTCCAATTTCTCCACATTCTCACCAACACGCATTATTTAAAAAAAATTATTATGGCCATCCTAGCCTCTGTCCATTTTTGTCACATAAGGAAAGAGGTGTCACTGTGGAAAGAGCAGGGAGAAATCCCATCTCCACCACTAACAGGCAGCGTGAATCAGACAAGTTCTTGGACCTCTCGGAGCCTCCGTTTCTTTCTCTGTAAAGTGGAGCTAATCATGCCTGCCTGGCAAGGTTGTTTGGGAGGAGTGAATAAAATGATGCATGTAAAACACTAGTACAGGCTCTAGAACAAAAGACTCTCAATACATGCTAGCTATTTGTTATTTTCTGCTAGAATGTAAGCTTAGGGACTTGGTCTGTTAGGCACAGCTCAGTATCCCACACGCCTGGAACAAGCAGTAGCACTCAGGAAACACTCCAGAATATCCATGGAATGAATAAATGGAGAAGTTTCTCAACCCCCATAACTAACCTCCAATCCGGGCCACGCAGGCTCCTGGCAGAGCGGGAGGGGTGCCCAGGGAAGATGATCAGCCTGGAGGGGTAGGAGCTGGAGCACCCCTGGGGTGGGGGGTGGCCCTGATCTCAGTGAAGCCAGCCTGTCTGGGGCCGCCTGCTCTCTCCCAGGTGCTGCCCGACAGAGAGGGGAAGCGCTGCATGTTCTGTGTGAAGACGGCCTCCCGCACTTACGAGATGAGCGCCTCAGACACGCGCCAGCGCCAGGAGTGGACGGCTGGTGAGTGCTGGCCGGGTGGCCTGGGTCTGGCTGGGGCTCAGTCGCCTCATCTGTGCAAAGGGAGTGATAACGCTTTGCCCAGCGAGAGGCTGGAGACTGAACTCGGTGGGCCAGCTCGAGGTCCCCCTAGCCCCCGGCTAGTCCTCCCTGACCTCCCTCCCGCAGCCATCCAGACGGCGATCCGGCTGCAGGCCGAGGGGAAGACGTCGCTGCACAAGGACCTGAAGCAGAAGCGGCGCGAGCAGCGGGAGCAGCGGGAGAGACGCCGGGCAGCCAAGGAAGAGGAGCTGCTGCGGTTGCAGCAGCTGCAGGAGGAGAAAGAGCGGAAGCTTCAGGAACTCGAGCTGCTGCAGGAGGCGCAGCGGCAGGCCGAGCGCCTGCTGCAGGAGGAGGAGGAGCGGCGACGCAGCCAGCACCGCGAGCTGCAGCAGGCGCTCGAGGGCCAGTTGCGCGAGGCGGAGCAGGTGGGCCCACACCCGCGGGGGCGCGGTGGGCTGAGGGATGCTGGAAGGCGAGGCCTGGGAACAGAGGGCCCGGGGCGGGGCCCGGGCCGAGGGCGGAGCCTGTGGGCGGAGGCTTGCATGTGGAGGCGGGGCTTGGAATGAGGGGCTGTTGGGACAGAGCCTGTGGGCTTGAAAGATGGGTGTGGGACCCGGCCTGTGCCAGTGGCGGGACCTGTGGAATAAAGGAAGGGGTAGGAGGTGCAGGAACCTGGCCAAGGGATGGCTTGAGATGAGAGACGTCGGGCGAGGCCTGAGCCGACGGATGGGTGGGGCCGGAGCTGAATGCCAGGTGTAGAGCCGGGCCTGGTGCGGAGACCGTGGCTGGGGCGCGGGGCTTGGATAGAGGAGCCGCTAAAGTCTCCAGAATTGGGCATGGGTTTGGCCCCAAACCGGCCTGGGTTGGGCTAGACTTGATCTGAATCTACGATAAAACCAGTTTGGGGAATACAGGATGGCAGGAAGGTGGGACGAATGTGGAGGCGGACTAGGCGGGTAAAGGCAATTCGATTTAGGGTTTAAGAGATGTAGAGATCTCTTTAGAGATCTGGAGCCACAGACGCGTGGATTGAATCCCAGCTCTGCCTCCGAGGAGCCCTATGATCTCAGGCAAGTTACTTAGTCTCCCTGTGCCTCAGCTACCTACCGTGACATGTTGTTGCCAGCAGAACTTTGCTGATAGAGGTACGATGAGGATCAAACAAGGAAACACTTTTAGTTGTTATAACAATTATAATTGGAGCCAGCCGGCAGCGTAGTGGTTAAGTTCTGCACTCTCTGCTTCCGCGGCTGCCTTCGCAAGTTTGGGTCCCGGGGACTGACCTACACCTCTCCTCAACCATGCTGGAGTAGGGACCCACAGACAACAGAGAGGGAGATTGGCACAGATGTTAGCTCAGGACAAATTTTCCTCAGCAAAAACAAAACAATTATAATTATATTAGTCATTCCCTTTCTAGCACCAGCCTTAATTATAATACATTATATTATAATATGTAATAATTATTAAGGCTGGTGCTAGGAAGGGGGTGACTCGAACCCATTTCCCCCATGTAACATCTGTTCACTGATCATTATCTGACCTAGTCAAGGCTCTCAGGAAGGGATCAGGTCAGGAAACCCGGACATAAAGTAGTTGGGCTGGCCCAGCAGAGCTCTGGGTAAAGGGCAGCATACCTGCCGCCTCCCACCCCGGGCCCCCATTGACCTGGCTCTGCGTCCCGGCACAGGCCCGGGCCTCCATGCAGGCTGAGATGGAGCTGAAGAAGGAGGAGGCTGCCCGGCAGCGGCAGCGCATCCAGGAGCTGGAGGAGATGCAGCAGAGGCTTCAGGAGGCCCTGCAACTGGAGGTGAAAGCTCGGCAAGACGAGGAGGCCGTGCGCCTAGCCCAGACCAGGTAGGACTGAGGGACCAGTTCTGGGTCCCCTCCCTGACTCCCCTGCCGTCCCACCTGCTGAGCACCTGCGAGGTGTCTTGGCTCTGGAGACAACTCAGTGCACGCCCGGCAGACTGCTGGAGGAGGAGGAGGAGAAGCTAAAGCAGCTGCTGCAGCTGAAGGAGGAGCAGGAGCGCTACATCGAGCGGGCGCAGCAGGAGAAGCAAGAGCTGCAGCAGGAGATGGCGCTGCAGAGCCGCTCCCTGCAGCAGGCCCAGCAGCAGCTGGAGGAGGTGCGGCAGAACCGGCAGCGGGCCGACGAGGACGTGGAGGTGAGGCCTGCGGTGGGATAGGCGGGGATAGCCTGGGATAGGCCAGATCCCCCCCCAGTACATAGTTGTGTATTTTTAGTTGTGGGTCCCTCTAGTTGTGGCATTTGGGACGCCGCCTCAACATGACTTAATGAGCGGTGCCATGTCCGCACCAGGATCCGAACCGGCGAAGCCCTGGGCCACCGAAGCGGAGGGTGCGAACTTAACCACTAGCCCATCCGCCCGCCTCCGAAGTGAGCGCTTTAACGCGCGGGCTCGGGAACCTTCCCTCGAACCTCTATCATCTCCTGGCTGTGTGACCTCTGTCAAATTGCCAAAGCTCTCTGAGTTTCAAGTCCTTCATCTGGGAGAGAGGACTGGTCATAGCATTGTTGTGAAGATTAGACAAAATAAGACGTGGTGTTGAGTATGTTGGAAGCGCTGAAGAAACATTAGCTACTATTTTTATCATTATTATTAATCTGGGCAAAATTTTTTCCTCTTACTCTTCCAAGCCCCTACCTTGCTATCCCTGTACTTTGTCTCCACTCCTTAGAGCCTAAATCTCCAGAGAAGAGGGGTTCTTTTTTTTTTAATTCTTGATGTTTTGTTTTTATTAATATTGATTATTTTATTTTGCTTTGTTGGCTTACATAGTTATTGTAAAAAATTCAAACACAGAAATATATGAAATAGAAAGGGAAAGTTCCTCTAGGTTCCACCCCCCCCCCCCCCCCCCAACCTCTGCTAATGGCTGAGTGAATGCTGGAGCAGAGGTTTTTGCCTCAGGTCCTGAGAGGTGGTGTGGTGAGGTGGTTTGGAGCCCAGTATGTGTCCATGTGAGCAAGTCACTTACCCTCTTTTGCTCTTGTTTGCCGTTAACTTCTGCTCTGGAGGTTAAATAAGATAATAAACATACTTAGCACATCTTAGCAGCTTAGTGAATAGAAACTATAATTGCGATTATTTTTGACCCTTTGGGGGTTCACAAGTCCTCTGAAATTGGATGCCAACTCTGTTTTATGAACATACCCTTTACGAACATACATGAGTTTTTCTGGGGAGATGATCAATAGACTTTGTCAGGTTCTGAGGGGCCTGTGAACGTGCAAAGGTCCATACACTGTCTTGGGTGGTGGCCCTGACCCACTCCCCCTGGCCCTGCCCCACAGGCTGCCCAGAGGAAGTTGCGCCAGGCCAGCACCAATGTGAAACACTGGAACGTCCAGGTGAACCGGCTCATGCATCCAATTGAGCCCGGAGGTGAGAGGGCGTAGACCCTGGAGCTTTCCTTGGAGGGAGAAGGGAGGGAGAAAGGGGTACCTCCACGTCTCCAGAGCCAACCTAGCGCTGAAGGCCGGGAGGTCCTCCTCTCCCCGGAGGGCTGAGGTGAGGCCCCTCCACCTCTCCCCTTTGCAGCACCTTTCTCCCTCCTCATGCCTACCTTTTCTCTACCAGACAAACGTCCCACCACCAGCAGCTCCTTCACAGGCTTCCAGCCTTCCCTACTTGCCCGCCGGGACTCCTCCCTGAAGCGCCTGACCCGCTGGGGATCCCGGGACAACAGGACCCCCTCGCCCAGCAGCAGTGAGCCGCAAAAGTCCCTCAATGGTGGAGATGAGTCTCCCATCTCGGCTTCCACCCCTCAGGAAGATAAACTGGACCCAGCACCCGAAAATTAGCCTCTGCTAGCCCCTTTCCCCAGACCTCATGCCTACCAGGACCTGGCCACAGCTGGCCTGTGGGTGACACCGGCCCCTGCAGAAGAGGGAGCTGAGGTCCTGGTGCCAGGGGCCCCAGGCCTTATAACCATTAAACAGTCCAGAATGGAATCTTCATTTTTTGCACCAGGCCCAGGCCCCGGCCCCAGACCCCTGAGGCTGTCTGGGATGTTGATCCTTGAGAACTTGACCCAGTGCCTTAACTCCAAGGACCCTGTGCCCTGGGCTGGGAAAGAAAGGAAACAAGCAAGCCAGGGGCCATCTGCGCAAAGACTGCCACCAAGTTGCGGAGGCACATTTCCAAATAAAAACTGCTCTTGGAATGAATCATTGATCAGTCTGCTGTCCATCTCTCCTGGCATTTCCTCTCCTCCGCCCTCAAGTCCAGTTATAGGACCCAGAAGGAGTGAGGTGCAGCACAGTGGCTAGGGAAGTACACTCTGCCACTTACTAACTGGGTGACTTCAGTCAGGTTTCTTCACCTCTCTGTGCTTTGGTTCCCATGTTGGTAAAGTCAGGATAATAACAGTAGCTACCTTATAGGGTCATTGTGAGGATTAAGTGCTTGGCACATGAACAATCACTATTCTTAGTATCACTCAAAAGTGTTTATTGAGTGTCTCTTCTATGCTTTGAAGTTTCCCAGGTTATTTAATTCTCATGGCAACCCTGAGAGGTGGATAGTATTATTATTATTCTCATTTTACATGTGTAGAAGCTGAGGCTCAGAGAGGTTAGGTAACTTGCCCAGAGCCTTCCAGACTTGCCTCTCTTCCTATATTATCTGGCTCCCTGCTCTTGTTACCTAAGAGGGAGATGTGGGAATGTTGGATGACTTGCTCCCTCCCTCTCATCCCCCTAATGCAGGACCCATCATTCAATCCAGTGGATTCTCTCTCTTTCATCCTCTCCTGTTTGCCCCTCCTTCCCTAGCCCCATGGCTACTGCCATGGCCAAGGCCTTTGTATCCTTTCCCTGCATGTGTACCTTTGCCTCCCTCTCCATCTTGCCCCACATCTAGTCAGTCTCCCAGTCCAACTGATTTCGATTTTCTTGGTCACTCTCAAATGTACCCCCCTGGGGCCATGTCTCACAGCTACTGCCTTACTCTGGCCCCCATCACTCCCAACTGGATAAGAGCAGTAACCGGACCTCCTTGCTAACCCTTCTCCCTACAGCTGCCTGAATGGGTTTTCTCAAATGCAGATCTGTTCTTGACTCTTCCCACTTTCCGCTCTCTCAGTGGTAGCCTGGACAGTCCAGTTCACATTCCCGTATGTGGCACACGAGGCCCGCGATGATCCGGCCTAGGAGGGCCTCCCATGCTTCTGCTTTATGCATCTACTCGCAGCTCCTCCCTCTTTCTCCCCTGGGGCCTGCACACTGGCTGTCCTTTCCACCTGACTTCACGTAACAGCCTGCAAAACTAGATGCTCGAGTTCCTTGAGAGCAGGGATCTATCTTGTTCAATTTATATCCCCAGTGCCTAGCACAGTACTTGGCTCTTAGTAGGCATGCAACAAATGTTGGTTGAATGAATTCACGAAGGCACAAATTCTAAAATGAATGAGTGGGTGTTACACAGCTTGAAAGTGATGAAGTAGCTAAGATTCAAACTCAAGTCCATTCATTTATTCAACAAATTATTTACTAAGCTCTTATTATATGTCAGGTATTGTGCTAGGTGCTGGCTATATGGCACAGAACAGAACAGAGTCCCTGCCCTCCTGGAGTTTATGTGCTTATCTGATATCAAAGTTCATGTCTTTTGCAAGTACACCAAACTTTATTGCAAGGAACTTCATTACAGTCTATTTAAAGTGTCATGAAACAGCTGCCAGTATAACACAATGCATATTCTAGGCATGGGAATTGAGTGCAGTAGGAATTCAGAAAAAAGGGAAGGATTGGGTAGGAGCTGGGATTCGAGGTGGCCCTTAAAATTTTTAATAAATAGAGCCGGCCCGGTGGCGCACTGGTTAAGTTCCCACATTCCACTTTGGCGGCCCAGGGTTCACCGGTTCAGATCCCAGGTGCAGACATGGCACTGCTTGGCAAGCCATGCTGTGGTAGGCGACCCACATATCAAAAAAAAGTAGAGGAAGATGGGTACAGATCTTAGCTCAGGGCCAGTCTGCCTCAGAAAAAAAAAATTTTTAACAAATAAGAAAGGAGAGTAGGAGAACATGGGGACGACACCAGTAGAAAGAAGCCTAACACATTTACGGACACAAGAAGTTTGGATTCTGGATATTGGATGAGAGGATCAGCGGTCCTCTAATTGGAGTGGAGTATCTCCATGGCACTAGGATTTTTTTTTTAAAGACTGGCACCTGAACTAACAACTGTTGCCAATCTTCCTTTTTTTTTTTTCTGCTTTATCTCCTCAAATCCCCCCCGTACATAGTTGTATATCTTAGTCGCAGGTCCTTCTAGTTGTGGCATGTGGGATGCTGCCTCAACATGGCCTGACGAGCGGTGCCACGTCCATGCCCTGGATCTGAACCGGCGAAATCCCAGGCCATCACAGCAGAGTGCACGAACTTAACCACCCAGCCACGGGGCCGGCCCCAGGCACAAGGATTTTTTTAAAAATCAATTTGCAGATCCCCAATTTCCAAGTGTTCTCTATACCATATCTGCTTTCCTCTTCCACAATTTCTCCATTCCTACTTCCAGTAGCAAGGCTCACCACTCACCCATCCACTGTCTTCCAATAGTAGACAACCCAGAGGGGTAAAATTCCTGGAACACTGTTGAAATGCTGATGTAGAACTGTGGGTGCTGAGAAAGTGAATGGCTCGAAAGCTGGGCAACAAATTCTTTTTATTTTCAAGTCAGGGGGTTTCCAAATCTTCACTTTCAAAACCTGGAAGGACTTACTTGCATTGTCAGCTGAAAAAAAGTATATATATATATATATATAATTTATTTATTTATTTTTTTGCTGAGGAAGATTCTCCCTGAGCTAATATCTGTGCCAATCTTCCTCTATTTTGTATGTGGGTCGCTGATGCAGCATGGCTATAGGTCCGCGCCTGGGAACCAAACCTGGGCTGCTGAAGCAGAGTGCGCCAAACTTAACCACTCTAGGCTACAGGGCTGGCCCCAACAATATATATTTTTTAATAGATCTCTGTGAGTTTTTTGGCAAACAACTCAGAATTAGATGCCATTGCTACTGTATATCAAAACTCTCCATTCTCATCTACTTATTTACGTGAAAAAGGTTTCTCAGCTTAAACATGAAAAAATAGGACTAGAAGTGATGCTGAATGCAGTCTCATTCTAGTAATAAGTAATATTCAACTATGAACATATAAACGTGGGGGAAAAAAGTAGCTCATCCATTTCATTATGAAACACATTTCCAATTATTTTTTATGTTTATGTATAATACTTATAAAAATAATATTTATGTTGTTTTCATCAATTGGATGTTACTATATTTATAATGGCCACTCAAACCAGAAGAAAATGTCTCACTTAGAGCTTTATAATTACATAAAACTTAAAAATTTAAAAAATTTCAACCTATCTACATATTTTGGTTGCAGAGACATATGATGATTAAGAAAAGACTTCCAAGCATACATGTTACATTAAGATTAGACTTTTGAGGGGAAAGTGCAACGGAAACACAAATACAATGAGAAAAGAGACAACGTAAAATTTTTCATTGCTAAAGAAGAGTTTGTTCTTCTTCTTCTTTTTTTTTTTGGTGAGGAAGATTGGCCCTGAGCTAACATCTGTGCCACTCTTTCTCTATTTTGTACGTAGGATGCCAGCCCCCTTGTTCATGTATTTTTAAGACAAATGATGGTGAGTACCAAATCACTATGGGATCTGAGTCTTAATAGATACATTTAAAAGGGTGATATAGCAGTTTTATATTAAAATGTCAGTATTTATAAAATAGTAGATATTACATCCATCCTCTGCAAATACTAATGATGAAAATTATTAGGGGCTGGCCTAGTGGTGTAGTAGTTAAGTTCGCACACTTCACTTCAGCAGCCAGGTTCACCAATTTGGGTCCCAGGTGCAGACCTAGCACCGCTTGTCAAGCCATGCTGGTAGGCGTCCCACATATAAAGTAGAGGAAGACGGGCACGGATGTTAGCTCAGGGCCAGTCTTCCTCAGCCAAAAGAGGAGGATTAGGAGGGGATGTTAGCTCAGGGCTAATCTTCCTCAAAAAAAGAAAAGAAAAATATTAATGTCACCTTAAAAATGTGCAAGGAGCCGCATAGTTCTTATATTTTTTTTAGGAGTAGAGGGGTAAAAAATTTTGAAGACCACTCCTATGAAGGACTCACGACGAGAAAAGTAGAATGAGGTCTGATTACAGACGTTCTTGAAAGCTAGGTAGAGTTCAGACGTGAAGTGGCAAGCTGACCTCTAAGCCTGTTTCCTCACCTGTCAGTGGGGTCCATTTCAAGTTCTTCGATGTTCTATGATGGGACACGGAGGCGTTGACAGTTGAGGTGTGAGACAGTGCAAGGAAGATCACCCTGATGCCTGAATGCCATCCACACTGGAACAAGTACGAGAAGCTGTCAGTCTTGGGGGACACTAATAGGGGGCAGGAGAAGATACTTTCCAGGCTTTTGATTCCAGGATTAGAAAGTAACTCCTCTGTCCTTTCCAACATCCCGGACAAAGGAGAATGTGTCCAATCTCTGATGCCCTCAGAGATACCCGCAAACTCTGGAGGCCAGGCAGAAAGCACAGCCATCGTGGTCCCAGGTCAGCCCTCTGTGGATGGACTGTGAGAAGAGGTGGGGAGGCGAGGCGACCGGCTGGGGTGCAAGAGGCTTGTTGCAAACTGCTGCCAGGATGTGCAAGGCGCCTCCCGGTCAAGCACAGTGTCTACCCAGACAGAAGAGGCGCCAGCAGCAGGTTGCCTCTCTGGCTTCTGCTGTAGGTGAGACAGGGAGGAAGGAGGTTGATTTCGGGAGGCTAAGGAGGCCCCCACCTGCTGGCTGGAGCCTGAAATGGCTGTGGAGGAGGTTGGAATCTAATTCAAAGCAGATCCAGCCTTACTCCACACTAAGTTATCGTTCAGTTATACTGCAATTGGGCATCAGAGCAAGTTTTGGTAGCTGAGACTGCTGGCTGCTCTGGAACGGGTTGCACAAGCTTGGCAGGGATGAACTTTTCACACTTTGAGCTGTGCCTGTGGGCAAATCTGTTCAAAGTGAAGATTAGAGGAAGCTGTATTAGTCTGGGTTTTTGGTTCAAGTAAGAGAAACCGATTTAAGTCAAAAAGGATTTATTAACAGAGTATAGAGGAGCTGCTTAAATAATTGGGAGGATGAGAGAGCTAGCTGAGAGGCTGTATAGTCGGGAACAATACCCTAGATCATAGCACACAACAGTTCTTACGAAGACACCCCAGCTGCCATCTCTGGGTATAGATGCTGCTGCTTCCATGGCTAATATCATGGGTGCTAGACGCTGCTCCAGCAACCGCTGCTTCTTACAGCTGGAAATTAGGTGGAGCTGCTGCTCTGCCACTTACCCGCATGGATTACATGTGCTCCCATTTCTTCACCTTCCCAGCATCCGGCTGGTGGAGCCTTGGTCACGTGGCTATGTCCTAGCTGCAAAGGAGGCTAGAAGCAAACGCCTGACATTTTCAGCTTCTGTGCTGGAGGAAGAGTCTGCAGTGAGAAATTCCTCAAATATAGGAAGGGGATTCCAAAGTTAGGTGGCCCCAAACAAGGAAAGCCTTGAAGAAGATGGAGATACACAAAACGGCACATTCTGAGGCCGGCAATCTGGGCGGTAAAGGAAACCATAATCATTTTATATAAGGAACTGGGGATGTTGTAGCTTGGAGAAGAAAAAAATATAAGGGAACAGGGTCATCGCTGTTTGTCCTCCCCCACGCGACTCTGTGCCCCACCGTGGGCCTCGTGGCTCGGTCTCCTCCCACTTCTGTGTTCTGAGAGCCCGGTTTTCTATATGGAAAACAGAGTGACTTAGTTTACCTCCAAGGGATAGAACTAAGAGTATTGAGTAGGAGCACCAGAGGATATAAATTTTTGCACAATATAAGGAAGATTTTTCTTTCTTCTTAAAAAAAACAAACCATGTTTTCATTATGAAAAAAAATGCTCAGAATAAAAATATAGAAAGATAATTATTCACAGAACCACAACCCAAAGGCAACTGCTGATAACATTTTAGTGTGTTTCCTTCCAGTTTTTTAATGCTAATTTTTTGTTTTCCAAACACTATACATATCTCTATGTTCTATACATGTTGTCAGAGTCTGCCTTTTTCCACTGATCAGATCATAACATTTTTCTACTTTTTCACCAACTCTTTGTAGGCATCATTTTTAATGGCTGCATAATATCCCACCAGGAGTGTACAGCATAATTTACCTAAACATTTCTCTGTTGTCAGACAATTAGGTTATCTCCAGGTTTTTGTTGTTTTAAATAATAATGTAATGAGAAATGGATTTATGGGGTCTAAGCATTAAATACACTTTTTGAATATGTTATATTAAATATTATAGATATCTTTTTTAATATAAAAATGAAATGAAGTGAAAAATGTAATATCTTAACAGTGCTCCCAGAATTTCTTTTAGGGAGGGAGCTATCTTATTTAGGGGAAATAAGCCCCCTAGGGGAGAAAGTGAGCTCTTCAGGGCATGAGTGCTGGCAGGACCACTAGCAATAAAGAGATACGGTTAAGTAGTCTCTTTCTGGGGCCAGCTGGCCCTGTGGTGTAGTGGTTAAGTTCGGCACGCTCCACTTCAGCGGCCCAGGTTCCCAGCTTGGATCCTGGGTGTGGATCCACATTACTTGTCAGTCAGGCTGTGGCAGCCACCCACACATGAAGTGGAGGAAGACTGGCACAGATGTTAGCTCACAGCCAATCTTCCTCAAGCAAAAAAAGAGAAAGATTGGCAATAGATGTTAGCTCAGGGCCAATTTTCCTCAAGTGAAAAAAGAGAAAGATTCCCATTTGGAACAACATGAATGGACCTGGAGGGAATTACATTAAGCAAAATAAACCAGACGGAGAAAGAGAAAGACAAACCCTAGATGATTTCACTCATATGTGGAAGATAAACATACGCATGGACAAAGAGAACAGTTCAGTGGTTACTGGGGGAAGAGGGCTGCAGGGTTGGGCACAGTGGGTGAAAGGGAGCACTTATACGGTGACGGACAAGTAATAATGTACAACTGAAATCTCACAATGTTGTAAACTATTATGAACTCAGTAAAGAAAAAAGAAAGATTAGCAACAGATCTTGGCTCAGGGCTAATCTCCAGCAAAAAAAGAAAAAAAGAGGAAAAAAGTCTCTTTCTTCCTGGGAAGACAGAGGAATTTGTTTTCTCCCCAGACAGCATGAGACAGAAGAAAGAATGGTGGGGCAGAGAGGAGAGGTAGTGATTTGGGAAAAGGCCAGGCCCTAAGGGGTGAAGGGCCAACTAGAAAACTTCAGTGGGGGCTGTGGAAAGGACTTTAAAGAATGTCTGATGTGTGAGTTTAAACTGTTTGCAATGCATCATGTGACTCTGCCCCAGGGCTCACAGCATCATAGTGTCTTCTATCCTCATGAATGTTCTGTGTGGGACAAGGCGTGGGCAGCCCTCAGGAAGTGCCGAGTTTCATCTCTACATTTCCGAACTGTGGCACTGCAACAGCCCAGCCTGGCAGAAGCAGGAGCTCAGAGGCAGAGATACTTCGGAGGATAACAATCTCCAGAAATTTGCAGAAATCTTAGGGAAGGCTTTGACTTTTACAATCCATTCTTATTTCCATCTTAAAGGGCTAGGAGGCTGATATCTGAACTACAAAAGCAATGCAATTTCATCCGAAATAGTAGGAAAAAAAGAGAAGCAGAAAAAGAAATTCATTCTAGTTCTACCGGTCAGATATCTGAGGGTGTGGCCTGAGGAGTGTTATGCGGGCGAGAGGTGAGAGGTAATCTTTACCTTTAAGACAGTGGAGAGGAGGGAGTTACCCGGTTGATCGTACACCTGTGAGTCAAGCTTTGTTCATAGCCAGATGAGGAACCCACCCTCTTCCTCCAGACAGCCTCCCAGCTGCTTAGCACTTTTTTTTATGATATACCTGAAGGGAAAGGTTGGAATAACAGGTCCTTTCCAGGTCCTAACGACCTGGGTTAAGAAGCGAGAACAGAATTGTCTGCAAAAGTAGGGAGGATGTTCCCCATTTAGGTGGGCAGTCGTATTCGATAAGTACATGGGAAGATAGGTAAGAAGTCCAGAACCATAAAATTCTAGTTGCAAAAGCCTCTTGATGGAGGATAGGTCTTTTATTAAAATTACAGGCAATGGAGTCTGGAGACCCGGGTTCTAGCCTCATCATTGCTTCTCACTGCAAGTCACGCACCTTCTCTGGGATTGTTTCTTCACTGGAAGGATGAGGAGGCTGCATTAGCCAACCTCTACGTTCCCTTCTAGCTTTAAATTCCGTTTTGTGATACTTGCCAGACTCGTTCTACTGGCCCCGACGCTCCCACCCGGCTCCTCCCACAGCCGCCGCGCCCGCATCCGGCACCAGAGGGCGCTGCAAGCGGGTCCAGGGCAGCGTGCGGTGGGCGGAGTCGCAGAATCAGCGGTCTCTGGGATGCGCGGTGATTGGCCGCGGCAGGGCGGAAAGGGGCGTGGCGGAGGTGGGGCGAGCTGCGCGGTGACGTCGCCCTGGCGGGGGCGGGGCCGGGCCGCGCAGCGTGTGACGCCACGGCCGCCGCGGATCCGGGATTAATGGGAAAAGTTTTGGCAGGAGCCGGAGGATCCTGCGGAGCCTGCGGGACGGCGGCGGTGGCGCGGGAGGTGGCCGGGACAGGTCGGTCCGCGCGTCGGGGGGAAGCGGGCAGGCGGGCAGCGGAGGGGAGCGGCGCGCCCGGGCTGAGGCGCCCACCAGGGCTGGAGTGCAAGGCCCGGCGGGGAGTGGGGTGGGCGAGAGGCCGGGGTCCGCGGACCAAGCCGCCGGCGCTCCGGCCCGAGCCGGTCCGCGCCCGTCCGTTGCTCTCCTGGCGCCCCGCCCCGCTGCCCCTGCGCCCCCAGCCGTCTGGACCCCCATCGCTGTTTGTCCTCCCCCACGCGACTCTGTGCCCCCGCTGTGGGCCTCGTGGCTCGGTCTCCTCCCACTTCTGTGTTCTGAGAGCCCGGTCTTCGGCTTGGGGTCCTCTCCCACTCTCCTTGGCTCTGACCTCTTCCTTCATCGCATCTCTAGTGTCCCCACATCCGTTGCCCTCTCTACCCAGGGTCTGCCTGGGGATCTTCTCTGTCCCCCTCCTTATCCTTGTCTCCTGCCTTCGTCCTCCCATCCTTGCCCTCTCAGTCTTTGCTCTGTTTTCCCAGCCCTCACCCCTCCTTTTCCCCGTTGCCTGGTCCCTCTCAGGATCAAGGCTCCCCGTCGTCTTCCTCACGGTGGTATTAAGCTTTTTCAGCCCCGTGCCTGCAGTCTCTGTCTCCCTAAGCCCCTCTTGTCCTGGCTCTTCCCAGAGGTCGTGTTTTTGCTCCTCTCTTTGATTTCCTTCTTATCAGTCCTGTCCCCTGCATTCTTGTCACCGCCCCCCACCCCCTCCCCTCCCAGTTCCTTGCCTCTGCTTCAGGGAGAAGCATTAGCTGCATACACGTCTCTGCTTTCCCTAGACCTGCAGTTGAGGTGCCCGTGGGGTGGGATGGGGGTGTTCAGCTTCAGACTGAAGTGAGGGGCTGAATGTCTGAGGTATGTCTGTGTGGGAGAATTTACTGGGGTGTTGCATGAGGGATGATGTCCCATTTTAGATCATTTTTCTAATCACAGCTTTAATGCTTCCCCTTTATGGGTCTGTTGACTTCCAGGAACTCTCAGGGAGAGACCGGCTGCTGAGTTGGGTGTGTGCCAGGGGTAGCTGGAGGCGTCATCCAACTCTTTTCCCCTTCCAGGAAACAGGGCTCTGTGTCTTTCCTCTCTGGATGTTTCAAACACATTTGAACTCTGATATCCTAGTCTACCTCAGCCCTCATTCTCACCCTCCACCCTATGCCCGATCCCAAAGAGCTAAGAGAAGTCTCTAGAAGCTGTGCTCCAGAGAATGCCTTTGGTCCTCAACCTGTTTCTTCTCTACTGGCTCCAGAACATTTTTTCCTGTTTGAGTGTTGAAATAGATTGCCAGCCGATAGCCCTGGGGCTGGCAGTTATCTGTCCCTTTTATTATTGGTGGCTTGCACCAGCTGCTGATTTTCCCTTGCGCATCTCTGACCCACTGAATGTGTCAGGGCCTCTGGTATCAGTCACTGAGCAGGTTCTCTTGAAGATTCTTCTCCCTCTGTTCCCCTTGGGAGCTTAATTTCCTGTGGATCCAAGAGGGAGGATGACACGGAAGTTCTGTTCCCTTTACCTGGGCGTAGCATGGGACATCAGGTCGATATCTGCCTGGGCAGGTTGTGAGGCTGCATTCGTTAGTCCATGTCAGGGAACTTGAGTTGCTTCCAGCCACAGAGATCATCCTCTCTGGGGCTGGAGAGCCCACCACCTCTGTGATGTGTCTGGGTGTTTAACCTTCTTGCCAGGCAGAAAGCTCTTTTCAGATGCCTTCAATTTGAGCTCCTTTATTTGGCGCTGGTCCCCTAGAGAGAGCTTCAGGAAATAGCATATCCTCTGTTTCTGCCCAATCTGATCTTGGAGGATTCTGAAAGCGTGACCCACTCTCAAGTTTAGAAATGAAGGCCTGTTGTTTCACCTGGCTCTGGGTTTCTAGGTCTCCTCTTTTGAGGATCGTGCTCTCCGTCTTTGAGCCAGAATTGCACACAGAGTTGGCATCCTTCAGGAGCTGTGGTGGAGAGCCAACTGAGCCAGCTAGACGAGACTTTAAAGTTTTGGAATCCTCTTGTGCACTGACCCTTTTCTGTGAGAGGAATAGGATCGTGGATGGCTGAACCAGTCCCCTTTCCACTGACCCTGGGCCCCCTCCTAAGCAGCACTTGGAGGGGATTTGGGCAGAATGGACCAAAAGGGGTCCCTTGGTTCTCTGAGGAACATCCCTCCAGAGTTTAATTGGTCATCTGATGAAGCTGAGGTGGTGCGTTTGGTGGGAATTGGTTTAGTCTCTGGCTGCCCAGGGCTTTACCTGGCTCTCCTGCAGTTTGCTCCATCTCTGTCTGTGCTAACCCTTTAGTGGTACCCTCCCCCGAGGCGGCAGGTGAGAAGGGCTTGAGGAGAGGGCAAGCCCAGTCCTTGCAGAGCAGCTTGGGCACCAGCAGCCCTGGCCAGAGAGCTTCTTGCAGTTCGTCCACCCTTGTCTTCTGCCTGGTAGTCATGAGTATCGACTACCAAGTTCCCATTCAGCGGTTTTTGCAGGGCCTGGGTCAGCTTGCCTCTCCTTTTCAAAGGTGCGGGCAGATAGGCCCCTGACGTTATTCTACGGATGGTGTAGCCCGTCAGCTCCTTAGTTTAGCAAACGAACTGCTCTTTGGTTTGTCTGCCTTTCTCCTTGCCTTACCGCCACTGCCTGCCTCCTTCCTTGGTGTATGCCTCAACCCACTCAGGAGGAATTGCCCTTACTCGGCTTTCCAGCCCACCTGTGGTCCCTCAGGTCCCTTCTCCACTACCTGGTACGGCCATTGTTGGGCACTGGCTGGGAAGCTAGTAGGCCTCTGCTTTGGATAGACTGCAGCAGTCCTAGCTGTCCTTTGTGCAAGCTGTTCTCAGGGCCTGCAGATCCTGGCGTGTCCTGCGACAGTTCAGCTCTTCTCTCTCAGGAGGAGTTGGACCAGTCTCTTCTAAAGGCTTCAGCTGTGTCCTCTCACCGAGGCCCACCTCCCAGGGTCTTCCCTGCCAGTTGGGAAGCTAAACTGGGGCTCTCCTCCACTGCCTTCATAGGGCCTGGAAATGCCAGGAGTCACCTCACTGCCCAGCATTGTCCACACTGGGACACACTTTCTTCTTCCTCCTTACGCAGCGTCTCCATGGACTTTGTCCTGCCAGGCTCTTGCTTGTGTCACATCAGAAGTTCTGTGCGTGATGCCCTTGTCTGTGCCATGTTGTCCCAGATTGCCCAGTGGCGGCTGCTTGTAGATGGTTTGGTGTCCCTGAGTGTTTTTCTGTGGCTTTGGATCCAGGGGGAGGAGCTGCTTGCAGCAGCTGGCTCCCACGGTGTCAGAGGAGAGCTGGGCACTTGCTTGAGCTTGGCAGGGAGGAAATGCCCCTCGGATCAGGTTTCAGACACGTAAGTCTTCTTCCTTGGCAGATGATTCCGGGCCTTTATAACTCAGGCTGGTGATTAGGGTGTGACTGCAGTCCTGTCTCCATGGGGCTTTGGTCAAGGAATCAAGGGTGACTCAGGGCGTCTCCATTTATGAGCTGCCACCCGTGGAGGGTGTTGGGCTCCAGCTCCTTTACCTTACCTTCTGCGCCGCCCTGGTAAAATCAGCAAAGCCAGTATCTGCCTACTTGGAAAGGAGCAGACTCCTTCCAGGACTGGGAAATATTTGCTGACTCAGGCTCAGAATCGCATCTCTGAGTATGTGTGTGAGGGACGGAGGAAGAGCCAGCTTGCCTTAGGAGCACTCTTTGAGCTCTGATGTTTAACTCTAACTTATTAGAGCTGCTTTTATGACCACTGGTGCCTCTCAGCTAACGATGTTGGGTGTCTTTCGATCCTGCAGTGTTGCCTGGTGTTTGGGGCATGCACATGGTACTCACGCAGCGGCTTCTGCTCACCAACAGATGAGGACAGATGCACCAAAGAGGTAATCTTTTTTCCTTTCCCGGGGCCTCTGACAACTGACTGACATGTCTCAGGTTTAGGATCCTGGCCTAGATGATGAAATCATTTCACCAAGGCGGAGTCCCACATCCCAGGTGCCTGTCATAGCACCTGCTACTCATCACGTACATAGTGGGCACTTACTAAATAATTATTGAATGTCACTGTCTTACATAGTTTTTTTGGGAGTATTTAGATTTTTACCTTTACACCTACTAAAACATAAACGCCACAAAGGCAGGGACTTTTTTGTTTTCTGTTGTGTCTAGGACAGTACCTGGCACAGAGGAGGTGCTAAATAAGTATGGAATGAGTAAATGAACAAACTTTCTTTTTTGCCCATATGAGTGTCACAAGGATCAGGCCACAAAGATCATGTCCATCATTCTCTGTCATTTATGCAACAAACATTTTTGAATGCCAGACACAGTACTAGGCACTAGGGAAGTGATGATAGTAGAAATGCAGATTCAGTTCAGTCCCTGTCACATGGGTCTGTAGGTTACTGGCGACTATGAGAGCTGGGCATAATACATGGAATTGCTTCTCTCCTGGGGTAGCTGGTCCTCACAGAGGGTGAACAGTGCTCTGGGCTTCCCATCGCCATTTCCCTGTTTGTCCTCAGGATGCCTGGTAGGTTTTGTAAACTCTCAGAAAGGGAGCTCCAGGGAATTTGATGTTCATTGTCTCAACTATTTGGGAGGCCGGGCTATGGCGGGGTCCCTGCTGGGGGCCAGGGGAAACATGGGGCTCCTGTCTCATTTGTTTTAATCTCTGAAGTTCGGTGGTTCCAGAGCTGTTTATGGGCTTCACTTCCCTTTCTCTGCCTTTAACACTCTGCGGGTTTTCCTGTTGCCAAACAGGGTGCTGAGCCCATGTGTCTGTCTGTCTGTGGGAGTCAGGTTGTTTGTGGATCTTGCAGGAAGGCCTTAGGAGGGGCCCCTCCTGTCCTCAAACCAATACCAAGTCCTTTCGTCTGAAGGAAATGTGAAGGAGGAAGGAGGGGGTGGTGGGGGCTTCTGAGGTTCCCTGAGAGGGGTGAGGTGGAAGTGCCCCCTGTGCAGGAGAGCTGCTGAATTGAGTTGGTTGCTTTGTCACCTGTTTGAGCAGCAGCTAGCGACAGTGGCAGCATGTCCCGTGGTCAGTTTTCCAGTTCATCCCTGAGCTTTGAGCTCCCAGTCCCAGCTAGAAGTTTGCTTTCTTAGTTTCCCCTGGCACAGATGAAGCTATAGCTTTGTCAGACTGTTCGTTGTTAATCTCAAAAAAAACGGTGGCATTGCCATCTTAGTCTTCCCCCTGTGAGGCACTTTCGGTGGCCACGTGCTGTGACAAATATTTCACATCTGATCTTTGGCTGCCCCCATGCTGCAGGTATGTGGAACCTAGTTGGGGAGAGAAGACATATGCACAGAAAGCTTTTTAAAATATTAGAGCGCTGGTGGGTCCTAAGAACATGGTGCTGTACAAGGGTACCCACTTAGAGGAGCAAGTTGTCACTGAGGCTTGGCTTTGTCCCTGAAGAAACTGGGTTTCGGATTGCTCCTTGGAAGTAAGTTGGTTAGTTTTGAAGTCAACTTTCTAATATTGTAAAACAGTGATTCTCAAACTTTTTGTCCTCAAGACTCCTTTACACTCTTAAAAATTATTTTAATTAATTAATTCATTTATTCATATTATTTATTTATTTATTTTTGAGGAAGATTAGCCCTGAGCTAACTACTGCCAATCCTCCTCTTTTTGCTAAGGAAGACCAGCCCTGAACTAACATCCATGCCTCTACTTTATATGTGGGATGCCTACCACAGCATGGCTTTTGCCACGCAGTGCCATGTCCACACCTGGAATCTGAACCAGCGAACCCCGGGCTGCCGAAGCGGAATGTGTGCACTTACCCACTGCACCACTGGGCCGGCCCCTACACTCTTAAAAATTATTAAGGACCCCGACAACTTTTGTTTACTGTATTAGAAATTAAAACTGAGGAATTAAAAGAAATCACTAGTTTGTTACTTCATTTAATATAATAATGATAAACCCATTACATGTATCATAAAAGACATTTTTAATGAAAAATAGCTGTTTTTCAAAACAAAAATTGAGAGAAAGGGGGGCAGATTAGAGAATGGTAGGGAGAGAGATAAAGAGGGGGGAAAAGAAGAGGGGAAAACAGCAAAAAGCATTTGCAGGAGGTCGAGATTGGAGGAACTACTTGAGGCTGAGAGAAGGCTCTACAGGGACTACAGTGTTAGCAAAAAGCAGGCTCCTTCTGTGGCTCCTGGGGGCCTGGCTTCTGGGTTCTAGCACCTCCGTCTTGCCCTGTCTCTGGAGCTCCTTCTGTCTGGGAAGAGGCCGAGGGAAGAGCTGGAGTGGCTTTCGTGCTGGGCAGACCTGGGTGTGTGACTCTGAGCTCTAGTGTGTGGGTTCACGACTTAATGATTAAAATGAGCCTCAGTGTGTGCTGGTTTGTCCCCGTCCTGCTGAGTTTGGTTCTGAGGTGAGGAGCTGGGAAGAAATGCCTTTCAGAACCAGTTCCTTCCCGGATTGACAGGCTGTGGTCCCGAGAGCCCAGCCTCAGAATGGGGAGCTGTCACCTTGTGTTAAACAGTTTTGGCATTCTGGCAAGTGCGTGGTCAGCACCCCTGCTTTTCTTTTGAGCCCAGTCTTCAAAGCCTAACTTCCACCCAGCCTTGTTGTCCTCTCAGCGGCTCTCCTGAGACCATTACTGAATTCTCCACAGCTAATAGCAACACAGCTTTGGAAGAGTTCTCTCATGAGGAGGATGCTGAGGGGAGACTCCCAGGTGTGTGGGAAAACCACCTCATGCTTAAGTTTATTTCTATATTGTTATACTAATAGGAATCTTAAAACGGATTTTCATTGCTTTCATTTGTAATTTGCCGTAACTCCTGGATCCGTGTCACTGCTTTTGGCACGTCCTCATCCAGGAGTCGTGACCTCGGCCGCAGAGTTACTTGGCTGCCGCTCCGGTGGAAGTGCAGGCCAGCTTTGCTCTCCCAACAGCAGCGCTCGCCAAGCAGGCTGCCCTGTGTCTGCGGGCCCACTCTCTCCTCACAAACAGGCCATCCTGAATTTGCCAGAGTGAGCTCTACTCATCATCCCCTTTTCCAAACAAGCAAGCAAGGTGTGGTTTTCCTCAGTTTCCCTGAATTGCCTAAAACATTTCCTTGTTCATAATTCTCACTTTACTTTCTTCGCCGCCAGTTCCGTTTCCTCTAGCACAGGGTTTCTCAGCCCCAGCACTATCGACATTTTGGGCCAGGTGATTCTTTGTTTTGTGGGTTGTCTGTGTGTTGCAGGATGTTTAACATCATTCCTGGCTTCTAGTCTTAGATGCCAATAGCACCCGCCACCCCTAGTTGTGAAAACCAGGAATGTCTCCAGACATTGCCACATGTCCCCTAGGAGCAAAATCACTCCTGATTGAAAACCACTGCTCTATCATTTCCCCACTAAATATTTCTGGCCAGCTAGGTCCCCTGGTGAACTCACATCAAGAAAACCAGTAAGATAAGCATACCGTTCTTACACTGGAAATTTACCCTCCTCAGTCACCTCACTGGGCCCTTGAGGGCTTTGCTGAGTAGTGAAATGGTTCACAGTGAGCAGCATTTTCCAACTAAGTAAGAAACCACATGATGTCTACACAGCAGAGGGACAGTGTCCGAGGTGTAAAGCCTTCTCCTGGAGTGGTTTTGTTTCTCACGCTTTGCTTCTCCAAGTCTTTTAGTGTCTGGGCAGAAGTCACCTTCTTGTACCTCCCAGAGTTACCACGTAGAGCAGAATTGGTAACATGTAGCATGTGAACTGTCACTAACCTGTCTGTTCCTGTGTTGGACATTGCTACCTGATTGGGCACTCTCATCATAGCAGTCTTCCTCTTCAAACTCAGATGGGTTCTTGGAACCCTCCACCCTGGGCACTTCTCATGAGAGAAAGCTTCCCTGCCTTCCCTGAGCTCAAGCTTGTCCTCTGGCCCACGTGATTTCTTTGCAACTTCCCCTCCTGTGAAAGCCTTCGGAACCACGTAGGGATCCTGATGGGTTCCCATTGACCCTCAGCACGCACATCCTGGACTCTTGAGTGGTCCACTGGGGGCCTCAGCTTGGAGAAGAGAAAGCTAGTGCTCAGTTTCGTGAAATTAATTCCCCACCCACTAGTTAATAGCAGGCAATTACAGGAAAAGAAAGACTCTGGTTCGGGTTGCTGCCAAAACTCCTGATCTGACTCTTCTTTCATGTGGACCAGATGTCTGAACTATGTTTCTCCCAAACTCTTGGAGTCTGCCTTTGTTAGACAGGGAAATGACCCCCAAGCATATCTAGGTCGTAACCCCTGGGACCTGTGGGTGCTACCATATATGGCACAATGGACTTTGCAGATGTGACTGAGTTAAGGATCTTGAGATGGAGAGATTATCGTGGATTGTCCGGTGGGCCTTAAGTGCAATCACAAGCGTCCTTTCAAGAGGAAGGCAAGGGGAGATGTGATAGAGAAGAAGGCAGTGTGACTACTGCAACAAAATGCTATGTTGCTGGCTCTGAAGATGGAGGAAGAGGCCAAGGAATTCAAGGAATGCAGCTCTAGAAGCTGGAAAAGCCAAGGAAACGTGCTCCCCTAGAACCTCGGGAGGAAGTGTGGCGCTGCCAGTACCTTGGTTTTGGCCCAGTAAAACTAATTTTGGACTTGTGACCTCCAGAGCTGTAAGATAATAAATATGTTTTGTTTTAAGCCATTAAGTTTGTGGTAGTTTGTTAGAGTGGCAACAGGAAACTACTCCAGGGCTCATCCGCCTCCAGGCGCAGGTGGTGACTTGGCTGATCCTTGTTCTTGTTTTAAGGTGATCGTAGAGAATCCCTTTCATGGCAGGTGGAGATTCTCGGTCTAGCCTTTTTCCAGACTAATATTCTAGAGAATATGCTCCTTGGGGGAACCTTTCACGGACTTGTTGGGAGCAAAAGAGAA